CGTGCACGTGAAAGAACCGCAGGTGGTCGAAACTTCATATATCAATCAATCCATCCTGACAGAATGCCACTTTCTAGAACAGGCTAAAGCACACCGCGTCACCCATTGCATCACGGGTTTGCCAAACACAGTAGGTACTTTTTTTTGCGATGACGCCTTTCGCCAAGTTACCTGATGTGACAACCTCACCCGCATCATTCGTCGTGTGGTCGAGGCAGCTCAAGCAGTAGTCCTTCCACTGCCTGATCTATCTCCGACCACGATCTCACTGATACAAGCCGTCGTTCGTCAAGAATTATCGAACGTCGGCCTACACCCTGTTCAACCAGTCTACTCTGCCGAGCCTTTTTATCGTCGTCCCTCCACTCCTCGCTTTGGTTCCAACTACTCTCGACAGCACAATTTGTCCGAATGACGTACACTGCACGACAAGTCCATATGCTTCAACTGCCGAAGTGTCGGTCACATCGCTCGCCTCTGTCGCAAGCACTGGGCTCCTCCGGCAGGCTATGGGCCTCTTCCCCAGGCCACTGCTGTCCACCAGTCGTCCTCAGCATTTGATTTTGATTCCCCTATGCCGACCACATTCTCTGATTCTGCCGCACCTCTGTAGAGACCTCGCTACGCCCGTTCACCATCCCCTGCTCGCCGTCAATCTCGTTCGCGCCCACAATGCCATCCTGACTCTTTGACCTATTCGCAGCGCTCCCGACCGGAAAACTAGGCAGTGCAGTTTCTAGAGGTGAAGCTGCATTGACGACGACCTCTGCAAGAAATCCTCGTGTAACATTACCGACCACCGGAAATATTTTGGGCGTTACTTTAGACAATGTACCTGTGCATGCATTGATCGGTACCGGTGTGCATGCGTCCATAATGAGCGCTGCTCTTCGTCGCCGCCTAAAGAAAGTTGTCACACCCGCCTTGAACCGAGCCATCCGAGTCACCGACGGGGGAACTTCCCCCATTATACACATGCGCTCTGCCCGTGTGAATGTTGCCGATAGAAGCACTGCTGTTCTTTTCACCGTTATAGGAAATTGTCCTCATGATCTAATTCTAGGTATAGATTTTATAACCGCTCATTCGGCTCTTAAGGATTGTTCAGCCGGCTGTCTTGACCTTGAGATGCCTCTACTTTCCGATCTGACCAACCCACCCCAAAGCCGGCTTTGCTGCATTGATTTCGTACACGTTCCGCCTAACTGTGTTACCCACATCGACCTCTCCTCTACGCCACCTGTACCTGACGGCGATTACATGGTGGCACCAATTCATGTCATGATGCTTATGCATGGTATCGCTGTTCCGCACACAGTATTGACAATTGTTGGAAGCCACACATGCCTTCCTATTGTCAATTATGCCCTTACTGCCCAAATTCTTCCCCAAGGTATCTCCCTGGCCTAAATTACTGCCCTACAAGACCATACGGTTGAGCCATTCAGAGTGGATGATTTCTGTACCTCAGACCATGGCCCAACTCTATCACGTTCATCGGGCGTCGACGCTGACCGCATGGTACCATCAGACCTCGCTCCTGATCAAGCGCGAGCCCTCCATCACGTCCTGGAGTCCTATAGTGACATTTTCAACTTCGCAAGCACGGCCTTAAGCCGAACGAGTGTTGTTACTCATCGCATCAATACTGGTGACGCGAGTCCACGTTTCCCGTCCCGACGTCCATACCGTGTTTCCGCGTCCAAGCGTACAGTCATACAACAGGAAGTCGAAAAGATGCTTGCAGAAGACATAATGGAGCCCTTGGGTAGCCCCTGGGCTTCTCCTGTCGTCCTGATCAGAAAGAAGGATGGAACATGGTGCTTTGGTGTATATTATAGGCATCTCAACAAAATTACGAAGACAGGTGTGTACCCGTTGCCTAAAATTGATGATGCCTTAGACTGCCTTTACGTTCTGCGTATTTTTCCACTATCGACCTTCGAACTGGCTGTTGGCTGATCGCTGTCGACGAGATGGACCGTGAGAAGACCGCATTCGTCACTCCAGACGCTCTTTATCATTTCAAAGTTATCCCCTTCGGTCTCTGTAAAGTGCCGGCCACATTCGAAAGAATGATGGACTTTGTTGAAGAAATGAACTAGCCGCCGTGCTCATAGCGAAGGCCACCCGTCGACCTCTTCTTATTCTGAATGCTGCTCTAATCCACGATGATGATAATGCGCGCCTCGTCTTCTACACAGTTTGCAACATCCTCTACGCCCCCACAGTGGCACCTGACGACAAGAAAACTGAACGCTCACATGAGTCCGAGTACAAAATGTTCGTCAGTATTAGTAAGAGTTCCACGTCACTCCTAGAAGTGTCATCCGGGTCTTCTCCTGCACTAGATCCTCCAGCGGTGTTCTCGACGCTTGTGCCACGTTCGTGCCATTGAGTGCATTGGCTTCGATGCACCTCTGTTGTCTCTGAGCAGGTTTCCTTTGTATCTAAATTCCCATTGAAGGCGCTTCCAGAAAAATATTGTGTAGCTCTTTCTCAGGCAACTTTTTCTTCACTTTCTTTTTTTTTTGGCTCCACTTACCTTGTATTTACGTTGCCTCCGTCCTCATCTCATCCTTTCGCTTCGATGATGTGATACTGTCCCGGCATTTCGCCGCTTTGCGGTAATCGGCACTGTCGTACATACTCTCTTCAATCTTGCTTTGTGCACCTTTCACATTGAGCAGAAGCTGGGCGCTGTACAAGGAGCTTGCTTTTGTGTCACCACGATTTTTTTTTCTTTTTCATTTATTCTCGCTCTATCAAGTGGCCTTGATTTTCCTCGGTCGGGCGCTTGTATGCACGGTGGTGAGGGCTTTGTAACGTCTGAGTCTGCCAGCCTTCGCTTGAACGTATTATTAATATCTCGTGAATGGCCTTCTAGATCTACGAAGTTTTCTTCGTTCTCAATCATAAGAATACCTTCCACCTCGAACACTGCAGGTGTTGTAGGCTTCTTGTTAATAGCCTGATGGGTGCAGCATGCTAATGAGATCTCTAACGACGCTGAAGAGGCCTTCTCTGTAGCTGAAGTTCAAGCTTGTGTGCAGCGATTTTGTCCCTCTATCTGTCCTGTGGTACACTCATCCAAGTTCTATGGGACAAGATGGACGTTGACGACGTAGCTGCTACATTGTGGTGACAATGTCGGAGAAAGCACTTTCTTCTGAGCCTCCGTTCTCACACACTGTCGTATTAAGTCTAAGTGCATCTGCCGAGCCTTTAATGTATCTGCGATCTTAAATTCTGCTCCGACCCTTACTAGAATAATCTTGTACTCATAAACTTTGGCTTCTTCCATTTCCGCTACCAAATGATCGATGTCAACTGTGTTTGCATTCTCCTTATCAATTCCACTGAGAAGCTCGTACTGTTCAGTCAAAATTCGGTAAAACTTCTTCAACTCGCATACTGACGGGTGGTTTGTATGCCAAAGCTGTCCGATATCTGCGATCACCTGCGTGACGGCCTTGCGTGTTTGATTCCGCCTTTCGTGGAGGGCCTCCATAATCCAGTCCAGTGTCGGAAACAGAAGACATCACTGGCCGGCCGTATCACGAGGCGAAGTCAGAGTCAACACGGCATCCATCGCAAAAGGTTCGCACCACGAATATCCGTAAGTTGTAGGGCGAGTCAGGGCGAAGCCGAAGTAGACGTGAGGGCTCCCGTCTCGCGAGCCTCCAGACGATGTCTGCGCTCACGTTGATGCACCTTCAAGATGTCGACTTCCATGGACTGCCTTGCCTTGCGATTATCAGGACGTCGTCATCAAGGGCGAGTCAGGACGGAGCCGAAGTGAACGTGAGGGCTCCCGTCTCATGAGCCTCCAGACGATGCCTGTACTCACGTCAGTTCATTGGTGCTCCTAGTGGTCTCAGTCGCAACTGGAGTCACGCTCCCAGGTCTCGGCGGTGGTTAGGCCTCGCACATCAACTTTAGCCAAGCACAAGCAGTTCCGACGAGTTGCGCAACCGATGTGGTGGACTTTCCGGTCTACGATATTATTTTAGTACACGAAGCTCCACGCCAAGTTTACAAGTTCACAAGCACAAGTTTACAACTTGGTACCATCAGCAAACGAACGGTCTTACGAAGCGCCTCAACCGCACCATAACTGACATGCTTTCTAAATACGTAGCGGGCGACCACCTGGGACGTGCATTTGCCATTTGTGATGTTCGCATAAAATTCGTCGCGTCATGACACTGCCGGCTAATCTCCATTCTATCTTCTATACGGCAGAGAACCCGCCCAACCCTTTGACACCTTGCTGCCCTCGGTCACTGAATATACCGGTGAAGCTATCGCACGAGCCGATCACGCACGCCAACTCGTCCGCAGCCGACTGCAGGCCTTGCAGGAGCACCAAAGACAACTATACGATTCCCATTGTCAAAACGTGCACTTTTCATCAGGTTCCCTAGTTCTTTTCTGGTCCCCCACTCGGTGTGTAGGTCTTTCTGAAAAACTGCATGCTGTCACGCTACACTGGGCCATACCGCGTCGTTCGCCAGGTGACTGACGTTGCATACGAGATCATTCTGGCCGATCCAACGTCATCATCATCAGCTTCGAGGGACATAGTGCACATAGCTCGACTCAAGCCTTATCACCCTCCTTCAACCACATGCGAGTAGCTCAAGCACCGAGACGGTGCTTCTACCGCCGGGAGGTTATGATACAGAACACCCGCCACAGCCTTGCTGCATGAAAGAGAAAGACGACGTCGGTTACTCGTTGGTGATGAACTGGCTACATCTTGTTCGCCAAGCTCGGTACGTAGCATATAATTTAATAAATAGGTTACTCGTGACAATATTATTATTATTAAGCGTTAGAGATAAAATATTATTATTATTATTATTATTATTATTATTATTATTATTATTATTATTATTATTATTATTATTATTATTATTATTATTATTATTATTATTATTATTATTATTATTATTATTATTATTATTAGGCGTTAGAGATAAATCAGCTATCCGTACCTTTTGTCCAACTTCCGAGAGGTCTCCAGCTGGAAACCCAGCCATGTCCTTCAGGAGGTCGCAAGCAGACAGGACCCTATTGCACAGGGACGCGTCGTACGGTTTTCCGAATAATATGTTGTCCCTTATGGACATGTTGTAGATGCATGCACTCTGCGGCACACATGCTATGGTGCCCTGGGAGAAAAAGACTCGTTAGTGAACATGGGCCCCACAGAAGTTTATTGGCTGCTAAAACTGGTGTAATTGTGATAGCAACTGAGTTTTGAAATAGGAATATTAAACGTAAACAAAAGCCCATGCTGCTAAGTGCTTCAGCGTGCAGCGTGCTTCCCACGACAAAATCAGAATGTGTAACACCGATACCCAAATTTGGCTAAGCTTAAAATATTGGCTCAAGTTCCTGCATTCAAGAGTGAATGTGAGTATAAACTCTCAATACGCAAATCAGACTCACTGCGAATGATACTAGCCACAGTCTGAACATGAGTATAGTGCATGTATGCGAATACAAATCATAACCTACCATAGTAAACCACACCTTAGTATGCATTAATCCCTAAGAATGCTATTATTTTGTGCCACTTAGTAGTACGGGCACGTTTAAAATTTAACGAATGCGGTTACCATTCCTGACGAGGGCGTTGTACCCAGTGGCTTCATCTGGTTCATCATTGGGCCTAAAGCTCATCAAATACCCAACGCACGCCCATAGCAACCATGCCCACTCACCCTCACCCTGAAATGGCCGCTTATTTTTTGAACGTCGCCTTGAAATGAGCTCAGCAGGGTCGACTTTCCGCTTCCAACGGATCCCACAATTCCAACCAGGCAACCAGGCTCCACTTTCAGGCTCACATCACGTAAGGCAGCTTCCGCAGTTGCTCCGGAAAAAGCTTCTGCATTGCTCCACGTGAATGAGCACTCGTCCAACCAGATGGACCCTACGCAGAAAATAAGGAGTTGCTATTCTGCGCTAACATCACTCAAATGCCAGCAGCGTACGTGCATGATGCAGTTAGTGTAAAACGTTCACACGTTAGCCTTTTCGGGCTCACTTATTCTTGGACCACTTTCACATTGCCCAAAATATTTTCCACGAAGACGAGAATGCAATATACTTCACTATACAGGACAGGATTACCGAAACAAAAGTGGGGTCTTTGGTATTAACCTGTCATACAACTGAACAAGAGTAGGCTTAAACGTGTAGTAATCTATTTTACTGTTTTTACGAGCCCGCTAACAAAACAGAGCACAGAATAATGACACACCGAAAGTGCTATAACTTACAACATTTCATTTATTTCTCAAGGGGCTACAACGGATGATCAGCGGAGATGCAGCGCACGCAGGTGTGGTCGGAGGAAATAAGACAATGCTATTGCCACATGCCCTCCTTACCATTTATTTTTATGTGCCGGCCACAATACACGTTTAACGGCTGCTTTGGGCAAAGAACACTGAATGACGTGCTATAGGAACCATTTAGGTACTATTAGAACCTACCGATGATAATACGCGCACAACTAGAGCACTGGAGTTTCTTCTGGAACTTAACTAGCCACTAGCAATAACGCTGAAATATTCTATGACGAATGTACAAACGCCGGCGTGCTTCACCGCTCATCACATTTATCCACGACCGACACTCTGTGCGTCGATATAAGCGTACAGCGTGCATTGCTTGCTGTAATCTGAGTTACCGTATCGGGGCCGCAAGTTCGGCCAAATAAAGAGTTCCTTGTTGCATACGTCAGTCACTGCGTTCGTCAACGTCCCGACCCTATAACAATATGAAAATAGCAACTTGTAAGGGGTGAACCACCGGGAAAATCACTTTAGTTACGACAGTTGGCAAGGTTATTACTTCTGCAGATCTGAAAAATTCCGGAGGAACGCAAACTGTCCATTCAATTCATAGCGTGCAAAGTGCGAGTTAGGCAACCTAGAAACTTCTGCTACTTCGATACATTAGGACGAAGACTGGTGCAAACGACACGGGAAATAGTACAAATATTGAAAACACCAAGCTTGTGGAAGATGTGTGTTAGTACGAGATCATCTCAACCGATAAAGAAGGAATCTGAGTTTTTCAAAGGGCCACTCACCAAGTTCCATACCAAATTTTAGAGAGACAGTGTAAGTTGTTGGGTGTCCAATGAGGAACATTTTGCCACAAAACTTTTTTGAATCGGTTCATCACGAACGGAGAAAACAGGTTTTTTGAAGCAGCGCGAACGAGGAAGAGAGGAGGCAAGCTCGAAACCCTTGCCGCTCCTCCGCGTAGCCTTCGCAAGCCAAATCTCTTCCCTACCCTCTCCAGCATCCGACCATGAGGTGACGTGCACATGACGTGCCCAAACAAGTCCAACCCCCGAGAACGCTAGCCGCATTGCTTTGTTGACCAGCGTTATGTTGTAGTCTTCTGCCTGTTTCTGCGGGATGGTTTGGAAACGCTAGCTTAGACGCGGCAGAATAGACGAGCACAATGAATGCGCGAACGCTTAGGAGCGTTCCACGGGGATGCACTGACCGCGGGGACACGAACGCACGCGAAACGCCAACACATTAGCCTCGCATCTCGTTGCAATTATCGGAAAAGTTCTTTATTACGTCTCATTATTCATCTAGAGTTATATTGATCTGTTCAAGCAAGAAATTACATAAACTATGCATGACATGGTAAATAATTTTCGCCATATCACGTGCCACTGTTTGCAGCGTCAGAGCAGAGTCTTCTACGTATAGGACCAACGTCACTGCATTGGCGTGTAAGTAGGGCCATTATTACGCGCACGACATGCCCTTAAGTGCCAACAACTGGCACGCGTATGCTAGCGTCTACGCGTCAAAAGCGTCAAATGCACCTCTCGGCGTCGGCGTCGGAGGGGCATACGCGAGGAGGCGCGATGGATCAAGCCGGACTTGATATTTTTGCCACGCGTACGCTACGTCACCACGCGTACAGTGGCGCCAACCAACCAGGGGCCACGCGCCAACTAACCAGAGGCCGCGATGACTCCGAATGCTGTGCCTAATGGCCGCCGCTTCGAAGGCACAGCCGAGTGCTGAAAGCAAGCATGAAAATTACTCCAAACGTTCCTGAATGACCGCTTCGTAATCTAGAACGACAACGAAACGACGAACGACTGCGAGTGCTACCAGCGTGACGCGGTTTCGTGCTGAGTTCGAGAGACGCCGACAAATCCAGCGAATGCCGGCCGGCTATGCTAGCGCCGGTCCCGAGTGCGATCGTCGGCCGAGCGAAAGGAGCATGTCGGTGTTCTTGTTCTTTGATCTGTGACTTTCTGTGCTGAAAACGAGTGTAAACAGACTTCGGAGGTTCGAAGGTTTGAGCGTGAGCCCTCGCCTACCGCGGAGGCAATTTGGAGCGGTGTCATCTGCATCCGCGCAGGCCTCTACCGTCTAGTTCGTATGAACCAGCACAGGCGAGGAACCTCGGCTGAAAAAACTCTACGGTAGTTTCCGTCGCAACATAGACACCATATACGACGCCCGAAGCATCGCGTAGTTCATATGGAGGAGTTTTTATCTGCACTGTGTTTGTTTTCAACATCGGTATTCATCATCGCTGAAAGCGAACCTCGCACTAGCCAACACATTTCCGTGATGTGAAAACGTGCGTACTTATATAAGTGTATTCGCGAATTGTACGACGCTGAAACATTCGTTGGCTTTGGTGCAAATCGTTTTCGTGTGTTTCCAAGCTAATAACAAGCGTGCGCTGGTTGGTAGCAGTGTGAGGTGACTTCGTGTCGGGTACCACCAACGCTGACACATTGAGCTGTCAGCGGTCTCATTTCCATTCACGTACAAGACAGAAACTCGAGCGTGCGTTGCTGTGGTGATCGAAAAAGAAAGTTGCATGATTAAGTGCTGCTGGTACTGCCTGCTATTTCACTTCTCGCTTCTTCTGCTTCTCTGCCACGCTCAGTAGCACATACGTTGTTTGGAGGCATTCTATCACACACATTCTTAATTTATAGCTCATTCTGATACTCATAGCTATAGGCATACAATGGCGCTTCTCCATCATTTTACAGTTTACCATAATATAACACGCGTTTTGTTTACAGCTGGACAGATAACTGAAAACCTTGTGAGAAGCACATGATTTCAAATCAGCTGCACGATGACACGATAGTAGGAAGAGAAGGTTACCACATGTATGCACAGAATGAATGAAAGTGCACTAGTACTGTACTGCGCTTTGTATAGAAGAAATGCAAAAAGTACCTCATGTGACTTACTACCTTTCAGAACTGTGCATGTATTTATCTGTTCCTCCAGACTGTAATGAGCTGAAGATATTATTGGATGGTTTCGAACATTGAATCTTTCTATGTGTTTCCAAGGACTGCTTCATTTCTGTTCAGTTTTTTAGTATACACATTAACTTGGACCATATATATGCATGCACCTAAGCACATTCAAAATATCAGGATATTCAGTTTAGCTATGTAAGAAAACTTGCCAAAACTTCTGTACGGTGCTCCGGTGCAATCCTATGACAGGTATCTGTCCCTTCAAAAATTTTGTAGATGCTTTATTGCATTTTGACTGTTGATGACAAGTGAAAGCCTTCTATACAGTGGTTCGCTGCAATCTCAAAACCAATGTCTGTCTCATCAAGAAGTGTCAGATGCATTTTGTAAATGTTAAAAGATATTTAAACTAGTAGCAAAGTGCACAAACCTTAAACACAGCTCTGATCTGCAATCACAATTCAGCTTAGAAGCCATTTGTAGTGCTCTCTAACACGTTCAAATAAAGTTATCAAACACTGGAATGATCTACTTGGTTCGGTTCGTGATACCAGTGTGTCTGACTTTTGGAGGCACTTGTATCATAATAATGTTCTATTTTTCTCATTTCTTACCGGGGTGCACTCAGGAAGTAGTGATATTTGTTTATGTTGGTACACCTATTTTGATATTACTGTTTAAATGCTTTCATTTTGTATATATGTACACCACTCCTGCAGTAGCCTCACATGGGGCTGCCGTATTTGAAAATAAATAAATATACCATCTGAAAGTGTTCTACTCTACTTGGTTCTAATATGATCACTAATATTTGTTACATCATGAAGTATCGGCTGAGTTTTATTGCATTGGAGAACATTTTGACTGCCTTCCATAGCGGGTTCAGTTCCAATATTATGGCCGATATCTGTGTCTTCATGAGCAGTTGGGTGCGTTTTATCGTTTTCGAGAATACTTTGACTAAAGACAACGTCCAGAAGTCTTCCATACAGAGTTCAGTTCCAATAATATGACGATATCTGTGACTTCATGAACAGTTGGGCGTGGTTTATCGCTTTAGAGAATACTTTGACTAAAGACAACGTCCAGAAGTCTTCCATACAGGGTTCAGTTGCAATATTATGACCGATATTTGTCACATCATGAAGTGTCAGGCACAGTTACTTGCATTAGAGCACATTTAGACTATGGAAAATGCCCAAAGGCATTTTACGCAGTATTTGGTTCCTATCTTATGAGCAATATTTGTTGTATCAATAGGAACAACGTGTGCTTTGTTGCATTAGAGGACATTTCTAAGACACACATCAGTCGGAAGCCTGCTATTCTGGCCTCATTTGTATTCCTATGACCAATATCTGTTGTATCAATAAGAACCAGGTCTGCTTTGTTGCATTAGAGAATATTTCTAACACACACATCAGCTGAAAGCCTGCTACTCTGGCCTCAATGGTAGTCTTATGACGTCAATCTGTCTGATCATGAAGATTCAGGCGTGATTACTAAGTTGAGTGCTACAAAGTATGAAGTGTAAATGTACTGAAGGTACCGGCATATTCACGATATTGTTAATAAATTTGGTAGTGCAGGTATAGAAACCCGGTGGTTTGTAAACCTGATTAGGAAGGCAGCCGCCGCCTCATTCACCGAAGAGA